ACATGGCTATAGGGATTCTCTGAACCTGAGATCCATAGCTTCCTCAGCCCCATTGTGCAAACATCCTGTACTTTTCCCCACATACACACCAGTGAGTCTGCAACAAAAATACCTGCCTTATACAATATCCTTCGTAATATAGTAACACCTACTACGGTAATCCATGCTACATGGTGTAAATAATAAGGAGACACGTTATATAACATTATGCATGAAGTAGATACATTGTATGTACCTTGTATCCAATCATGCAATGGTTCTACATGAAAATAGAATACTGGTAATATATGGTGGAGTGATCTACATCATGATCATATGTGCAGTTGATACACTAACATCAAGGCACTCTTCAGTAATATACTAGAACCTATATTATATAGATAGCATCAAATACCTGCCTGCATAGCATTGAATATTCACATAAATCTCTGTTAGCAATTTAAGACAAGCCAAGTGCAGATCACTGCGTCAATCACAATTATCTACATGAAATGGTACAGTATGGTTATGATAAGTAGTAAGAGAATCTGGTTGGATGCTTGCAGAAAATGGTATGGTTGGATCACAATTCACTTCAACAACCTGACAGCTAGTCAACAGAATTGCCAATTAGACCTGGAGCATGAACCGATCTGTTTGCTGACAACCTCCCATCACATGCTGACAGTCTCCCATCACATGCTCATTAGGACCCTGCGCTAATTGGTATTCAGTAAATGGGCAACCATATATAGCCGTAAACACAGAGTGGGTCAGCCTGATGGGTTTCATCATCCAAAAATTCATGGCCTATCGGGATTCTATCAAAGCTCTGGGTGTAATTGATTTCAGGTATGGCAGAGATATCGGAAGAATGGGAGGAATACATCCGAAATGCAATCAGTCTGCTGCTAGTGATACATATTTAGAAATGACAAAAGAGGGATAAGTGATGAAAATGCTCTGCTAGTATCTATCGGATTACTGGACAAAGGAAATGGTGGCATGATATCTCTTCTCTTCTTTTGTCATCCTCAACTCAGGTGAAGCATGATGCTTTTTCAAGTACCCGGCACAGGTGGCTATATTATTGCACTGGGGGTGTGCTATGGCTCATGTATTTGATTTTGATATAGACATTACTAGTACTTTGACGTGTTTCCCTATGGAAAACAGACTACAGACAACAGACTACACACAAAAAGCTCATTCAAATTCCTCTTACCTACCATAGACTTTAGAGTTTGCAAATATCAAACATATGACAAGCAAAATGTAGTACATTTTGTCTATTGCATTCAACATGCATTC